TTCCTTGGCTGCCCTGGCGCATTAAAGCAGCCCAAGGATTTCCCTGGGCAAGAGGAAGGTCTATTTAGAGTGTCTGCACCAGGTAGGAGCTGTGATTTGGAGACCAGCCTTGGTCCAGACTTGCCCCCTGCTCCAAAGGCAGCTTGCCCTGTTTCAGTGGCACTCCAGCAGCACTGGACCTGCAAAATGACTTCACATAATTTCAAGACTCATGGCACTAGGTCTCCTCCTGGATTTGTCTGGCTCTTGGCCATGCTGCTCAAGCAAAACCCTGTAGGTTTTCAACAGGAGCATGAGCAGCACCTGAAAAGGGAGATGAGGCAAGGGGAAGGGAGAGGAGGGGGAAGACACAGCATCAAGCTGCACACACAAAACAATTTTTCTTTTTATTATGAAACCAAACAAATGCCCCAGGACCAGGGTCCAATGGTTACCAGTAACATCAAAGTTTACTTTCTAACTCTCTTTTAATTCTGTTGTGTCTGAGGCCAGCAATTTGCAATAAACAAGCTAAACTACTTACATTGACTCATTTCTTTTCAGTAACTGACATTTACAGGAATATACTAGAAATGGCACTAAAAAGTTTTAAGAAAAAGTTACGGTAAATTTGCATGCACATCATACAGAAAAGTAACATTTTTTTTTTAAATATTATAAAACCCAAAAAAAAAACCCAAAACAAAAATACAACAACAGATCTTTCTGGATTGGTTATGCCAGTAACAGGGGTAAGTTCTTAAGTGGCCTGGGTCAAACCCTAGCTGGTGGTTTTATTTATTTTTAAAAATGACATTTAAAAAGATATGCAAATACCGTTTTCTTTAAAAAAATGCATCTCATTGTTTTACAAGCAAGGTAACTGCTAGTGTAATGAATCCTCGCCCTAAATTTACCTTCAGCAATGCAGAGCCTGCCCACAGTTAGCCCTAGTGGTAACTGCTCCTGGTTGAGAATGTCTTTTTTAAAAACCAGTGCTAAAAAGGTTGTGGTTTTTCATTGTCACGCCCTGATCCCTTCCCCTTAGCTCCAACCCCAACTTTAAAAAATAGCATTCCTTTCAAAACAAGGAAAAAAATTAAAAACTGGTCTAAGAGTCCCCAAAACAGAGAAAGAACTAGATTAGGTAACTGCAGTCTGCTTCTACCACCTAGAGAACATGGAAAGAGACCTCACTGGTAGCTAACTCCTGTATCTACACGCACACAGTGTGGTGGAGGTGTGGGGGTGTGCAGCTGGGACACACCAGCCACAGAGTCCTGAAAGATCAGCTCTACAGTTACAAACCCTGTTGGTAGGAAAGGTTAAAATCACAACGATACAAAAACTGAAATAATTTTGTACAGACAACATCTGGTTAGCAGAAAACTGACGTAGGCAACGGATTCCTTTCAGAGATGGGGCAGGGTCTGAGCCCATGGGATGTGGGTCTCCCTCTGGTCCTACTGAGCCTACATCTGATGGTGCATCAAGAAACAGGCTGACTTTACAATCCAATAGAGTTTAACAAAGTTTTTAAAGGTGCAGTAATGCTGGTTGAAGTGATAATAGGTCTGGTCAGATATTGTTTTGTCCAAAGAGGAATTTGTCAGAAAAAAGTTTCAATAAAACTCTTTGTGTGTATGTATACATATGAAATCATACTGATTTCAGTGAAGTTTCCCCTGGAAAACAAAGTTAAACTTTGTTCCTTCAAGAAAAAATTTACCATAAAAATCTCATTTCTTTTTTTTTATTCTCAAGTTTAAAAATGTTATCTCAAACATGTTTGATCATTGAAGTTATTCCATGACATCTGTACTGACATGTCATGCAATACAAAGTCAGTTTAATAAACGCTCTATTAATAGCTTCCAACTCATTCAGGGCTGCTGCTACTTCCTATGGACTGGAAACATCCCTTCTTTCCTGGAGACACTCTGATCTGGAGATACAAGAGGCACCACTACTGACACATCAGGAGATAACGAGCACTACAGACAGTAGGAAAATGAAGAAGTGCAAGAACCACATTTTGAAATGTAGAGTCACTAATTTCTGTCCTGAAATGAAGGTCAGGCCAAAGTAGACTCCTCCTGGGAACTGCCATTTCCTAGGGAACACCTCAATTCCCAGGAACACCAACAAAATTCCCCACCAAGTGGTAGCCCAAGTCACAGCTGGGTGTATCAAAGAGATGCAGGTGGCTCCTCATGTTCCGTGCTGGTTTTGGTTGCTTGTTTTCCTTGAAAGTCCCCAAGCTAGGACAGGTTTGCCAACTGAAATAGGGATCTTCCTCCAGCGCTGCGGACAGTCCTGGGCCAGGCCCCATTCCAAGGGTGAGGGTCCCTCAGTTCCTTCCCCCTTTGCTCCACACTTGGTCACCAGGCCCTTGGCTCTAACCTTTCCATGCTGATTTTGGAGGAACAGACCTACATGTCCCAGAGGAACAGCTGGCTGTGGTCAGTGGGGTTGCCCCAGCATCAGAGGATGGTGGCATGCTGCATGGCCAGCCCCCCAGGTTTTGAGGGGTGATGATGCTGGCAAGAGTGGCATCTCCACGTGGGAGCAACCACCACCTTACAGCAACAGCACAGCTCAGGTTAACACACAGAGGAAAAGGTTTCAGGCAGGGAAAACTGGGGAGCTTGTTTATCCAAGTTGTCAGGGTGTCGAATCGGGTGCAAAATTATTTGCACTAAAACACCAGTTGGCTTTGACAATGAAAGTCTCAGACAATAGGAGGAACACAGATGAAACCCAACCCCATTAAAAAAAAAAACTAAGCTCTTAATCAGGTGTATATTACATTTCCTCATAGTAATTTCTGAAAATATATTGCCAAGGATCTGCCTAGGGGAAGACTTTTTTTTTTTAAGGGCAGAATTTAAAATAGAGGAACTAAAAATAACTCTATTGTTAATGGAAAAGAAAAATCATTTTGGTGAGAATCAGATTACCCCAGTTCATCCACCTCCAAATACTATGCAAAACTACCTGCAAAGACTTGAAACTCTTGCTACCAGGCCAATTTTAGGGCTACCCCACAGCAGAGGCAGGCTGTGGGGCTGCTGCTGGGAGAGGGAAAGGCATAACTTTGTTATAGTCTGTATATTTTTTTTCTTTACAATAAAAAGTTAAGAATTTACAATAAATTTCTGCCCCTCAGATTACAAATTTTATATAATTATAGAACAGGTGTTTTCCTAAATTAGGATGATAAAAAAATCCACTGTTCTTCAAAAAAAAAAGAGAGAGGGAAAAGGGAATTCTGGAAATATGACTGAGAAAATAACGTGCTGCATCAACAAGTTTTATCTACCTCAATGTTTCCAAAATTTGTACAAAACAAGAGAAAATGGGCTGGGGTGGAAATACAAAGAAGAGAGAAAACAAATCAAAAAGTGAACACATCAGACATGACAGAGCACCAGACACAATAACTGGACTAGTAGCACCTGTAGGTATAAAGTCCAGCGCATTTAAATAGTCTCAGATTTTTATTTGCTTTGTTGTTTGTTTTTGTTTAATCTGGTTCAAACCACATTAGAAGTCTGCATTTATGCTACTCTGCATAACGCAGCATTGCTTTTTGCTATTTATTACATTTTAAATGATCAATGCTGGTTAATAAATAAAGTACTTGTATATACACGAAGTTAGGGACAGTGAAAACAGTGCAGGTCAAAACATTAGGCTGGACTCAAAATTGCAAGCCTTTAAAAATTGTTGCTTTTCTTTTTTTTTTTCCTCCCTCCCTGCTTTTTTCTTTTTATTGAGGTAAGCATTTCAGTGCCTGGAAACCTGCACCCTGCACGAGACACAAGCTACATTCCCTTCCTAGGAGCTTGCTACTGAAACAGTAAGGAGAGAGGAAAATCAGAAATAACCAAACCAACCCAAACACACACAACATCCCTCTCTGATTCCCCTGCCAGCTCAGCCTCAGCTGGAGCTCAAGTGCTCCTTTATTTTAAGCCCAGACTGAGGTGCTTGTCATGGAGAAAATACTTAAGCATGTGTCTAATAAGGAGCACATGACTTGCCTTGGTCACTCTGCAGGGATCACTCCAAGGTCCAGTTAAGAACTTTCAGCCAAAAACAGGTTTTCAGTCTATGAAAGTTTGCATTTACAAGTGTCCGTTTCCTGGAAATTATCTATTTGATGTTAAAAAAATAACATTGCCAAGAAAACTTGAGTGTCCCTTGCTCCCCTTCTCCCCAACGTGTCCCCAACAAAAATTGAAAGATTTGAGTGGAAAAACAAGAAACGCAACCACTTCTATTGCTCATGTGCTTAAAGTTAAATCCATGCTTAAATACCTTCCTGAACGGGTGCCTATGCCCCTACCAAGATTAAAAAAAAAAGTATGTTAGCAATCCACAGTACATAAGATTTTTTTTGTTGGTTTTTTGTTTGTTTTATGCAAAAAGATGATAGCATCTGACATTTTCATCACTGTAGACTTCGAGATTAAGAACACTAGTGCTAATAACAAATACACCAACTAGTTCAAAAGCTAACATCTTTCAGAAACAGTACCATTTTACAGAGATTTCTTAAAAAAAAGATTATTTTTTTTTTTTTTTACCTTGTGTGAGCCAGGCAGGCTTGTTAAAAGAGAACATTCCAGGGAGAGGGAGGGGGCGAGAGGAAAATGTACTACAAACCTTGCAGAACGTTCTATTTATCTCCTGCTAAGAGTTCAAAGTTCTCCCATTTTCAACCAATCTTCTTCAGTGAAAATGTATTTTAGAGACTTTATGCAAAGGGAACTATTTGCCATAAAGTCTAGTCACACACACACACGCAAAGATCTTTGACCTATTAAAAGAGCGACCCCCAAAAAAATGGAAGATATTTTTTATAACACTGAATTAAAAAAAATTTAAAAAAAAAAGAAAGAAAGAAAAAAAATCCTGACCACCGTGGAACAAGAGCAGTATATTAAGGAGAGAAAGGAACACTGCAGAGCATCAGTGAGGGTGATGTCCATGTTTTGTGTCCCAGTGTCCATAACTCACTCCGAATCGCTGCTGTCCGAGCTGGAGCCGCTGGAGCTGCTGCTCCCAGACTCAGAGGAGCTGCTGCTGCTGAGCCGGGAGGGGCCCCCGGAGGGACCCGAGCTGGATTTCTCTGCAGGGAAGAGGACAGCAGTGTGGTTATTCCTGAGGTACTGATGTAGAGAAGCTTTACCCACAGCCTTCATCCTCCACAGCTCCCTTCATCGCTTCCCGCTGCCTGGGCAGCTGACTGACCTTTGCTTGCTGCAGCAAGGCCTGGCCCATCAGTGGATTTCTGCAGCCTTCTTTTCTCCAGGCTAAATAATAATTCCTTCAGCCATTCCTCACAAGACCTGTGTGCTCCAGACCCTTCCCCAGCTCCACTGCCCTTCTCTGGACATGCTCCAGCCCCTCAGTATCAGTCTTCAGTGAGGGACCCAAAACTGAACGCAGTATTTAAGGTGTGACCTCCCCAGTGCTGAGTCCAGAGGGACAATCCCATCCCTAGTCCTGCTGGCCACTCCAGTACTGATCCAAGCCAGGGTGCTGGTGGTCTTCTTGGTCAGCATTACACTATGTGGGCACTTGAGCTTTTTTTCATCTCACAATGGAGAAAAATCATCTATTAGATGCTTCACAGTGCTGGTCTGTACACACAGTCCCACACAGGCTAACAGAGAAGCTCCTCCTCCCTCTAAGGATAAGCTGCCTCCAAGACACCTCATATTTACCACCTAGGAGAGCTTCCACTCAGAGAGGGACCAAAGCCACTCCCACACAGCATCTCAGTGCCCAGAAACAACTCGCTGTGCCCTGACACTAGTGACCAACTGGGGTAACTCACAGAGACAAACCCAAGGCCACAAGAAGGCAGTGGTTTTATCTCAGTGAGGAAGTCCATCTACACCCACAGCTTTCTGGGCATTGTCAGTGCAGTAAAACCAAAGCTGATACCTTTCTTTGCAGGTTTCTTGTTGTTGTTTAGTTGCCCACTGACGTCCTGTAACCGTTTTTCTAGTTCTTTCTTCTTTTCCTGAGCTAACTCTTCTTTTGACTTGGCTGCTTGTTTTTTTCCACTTGCAGCTGTGGAGGAGGAACGCACAGTTTCTGAAACCACACAGTTGCTGGTGAAAAAGAGTGGACATCACTATTTTACAGGGCATGTAAATCTGTGTGACCACTCTCCAGTGACACTGCTAAGACCAAGTGACCACACAGCAACTACACATCCCAGGTCAAGGACAACATGTGAAAGTTGTCTAGATCATCCAATCACCATCATCCTGTAACATGCACTTTTTAAGAGAGATTTTCTGGAAAGTATTTCAGAAGATAGAAGTATCCATGTAATAACCTTGTAGCTACAGGTTACTTACCAGCCAGTTTTATGGTCAATAGTTACACATTTGTAATTACAGAATTGTTACATGGGTTTTCTGCCCTGTAAAATAAAGTGTCCCATTAAAGGTTGTCAGAAGTAAGCATCTCCCATTAAAACTCAAGATACCTCATGCAGGAATCTACTCTGTTTTATCTGGCTTTAAATATAAAACAAACCAAAAAGGACAAATTAAAGAACAACTGAGGCAAAGGCTGGCAGACGACAGGAATGTAGCTGCATCAGTCAGGATGGAAATGGTGAGAAGTCCCAGCAACACTCATACTTCTGAGCAGAAATATCCATCCAAAGGAGGAGTAATTGAACACAGGTGTTGGCCAGGGTCAGAACCCAGGCCAGATAGTTTGCCTGATCCAGCAAGGAAATACCTACATTTCTGTGTGCTGTTTTAAGGCAAAGATGGAAAAAAAAAAGAAATTAAAAAAAAAATCAGGAAAGCACAGTCCTGAGAGGGTGTGGCCCTGAGCACCAAGCATTGCAATATGCAGTTTTGCTCAGCCCAGGGCATACCAGTCCCAGAAGAGCAGACATCTGAGCCACTGCACTACTCTGCATTGTGGTTCCAGAACAAAAGGATGCTTCTTGTTCCTAACCAGTCTGGAAAATTTTTTCCCCAAGCTATTCCAACAAAGGACTCAAGGAAAAAAATAAATCAAAGTGATGTATTAAAAAGCAAAAGGAAGGGTCAATGTCTGAGTTTTGCTTAGGCCTACCTGAAGATCCTGTGGTGAAGAAACGGAGGTGCTCTGCAATAGAGGTGAGTGGCTATTGTGTTACACTCCTAACAGGACAAGTCCCTTTTAACCAACAAGCAGATATACAGAGCCAGGACCACTTCAGGTAAGTGATCCTACTGCTATTCAGCCAGAGCTAAACTCTCAAAGGGCCACAACTCTGGGGATGAGGCACAGAGAAGAGTCTGTCCCATGCTGAACCACACACCGCCAGTGCACGAAGGTTAATCCTCTGGTCTGATAGAGACCAGGGGCAATGTGGTGATCAGGCCAGCTAGGCAGAATATTTTTGGGGTGAATATACAATTTGGACACACCCAGAATCCACAGGTTGCTCAGGCAGCTTTCTGCAAGTTTTTTACTCCCTTGGTGTTCTGGATCCCAGCCCTGCTTTTTGTTTCTTTCCTAATTAAATGCTAAACTATTCAGGCTAAGAAACTGATCTTTCCAGATGTGTGCACATAACACCTAATACAATGAGACTGAAACCTTTATAGTGCCTTCTAGATTCTAGATAAGTAATAAAGGTATCACACAGGTCTTGGAGAGGAACACAGTAGCCCTCCAGGTCTCCAGAGCATGACATCATGGGAGGAAAGAACAGGGAAAACCAGAAAGTTTCTGTACATTTTCATGGGAGAAAAGTATCTCTGCAAATCCCTGTCACCACACAGCCAACAGCTGGATAAGAGATTCCCAACACACATCCCCTGACTCCAAAGCTGAGCCCAAGAGCTGGTGGGGGAACACAAGCCCCAGGAGGTAACTTACAAAACGGTTTCCTTTGTTTTTTCTGTAAACAAGATTTCACGTATCTCTCCAGTTCTCGTAAAGTTGTGGGCTTCAAGGTTTCAAAATCTATTTCTATTTCATCAGGATTGGAGTCTCTGAGGGAAGGTTCCCTTGACTGGATGATGTGCACCACCCTGCCCAGCTTCTCCCCGGGCAGGCGGTTGATGTCCAAGCTGAGCTGGCGTTTCTCATCGTAAGTCATGGGCAGACCTTCCTCCTCCTCGTCCGAGTCGTAGGTTGCAGATGCCTGTTTGCCTCCTTTCTTGGGCTGCCTGAGGGGGGGTTGGCAAGCATGGAAACATTCATGGGTATACAGAATCAATAAGGTCTTTTTTTCCTACCCCTCCACGTAACAAACATCCCAACGCTCTTGGCTTCCAACCTCTAAGCCAGATGGCTGGCACAGCACCACAACTTCTGAAAAAGTTCAGAGATGTGAGATCAGCTGTTCTGCTCCTATTATACTGTAGCCCTGTGAGGCATGACAACAAGCCCATGTAGCAGCAGGGGGGCAGCCATGAAATGGCACGTTCTTGCTGGCTGCACAAAAGGCAGAGAGCAAAACCTTATCTGAGAGTGATCAGGCAGGGATTCTAAGGGAGTTGGACAGTGGAAATATGATGGTTCCACTGCCAGCTCTAACTTAAAGACTCCCTAGAGCTGCTTTGGAATGGGGACACTATTCAACAGCGGATTAAGTGCTCTGACAATCAAGCTTCACCAGGAATTCAGAGGGGACAAGGAGGACAGAAGAACTGGACTGGAAGCTCTCAGCATTCCCCTGAAGGCAACCTGCAGAAGGCAGGTTCTCACCTGTTAGCTGTGGTTGTGCTATTTGCTTTCTTAGCTGGGGCTTTCTTCTGTTGCGTTTGTTTTGGTGGTTGAGCCACCTTGGGTTTCTTCTCCTCCTCAGCTTTTACTTTGTGCTTTTCTTTTTCCTTCTCTTTATCTTTCTTTTTCTTCTCTTTTTCCTTCTTCTCTTTTTTTTTCTTTGGTTTGTTCACTGGTGCTTGTGACAATGCAGCTAGCTGCTCATGGACGGCCTTTAGCTGGAGGAGAACAGTGAAAAAACTCATCAGACCTCAAGGCAAGACAACTGATTCCTCCACATACCCTTCCTCTATGTTCCAGTGCATAAGGATATCCCAAAGTCAGCAGCAGGGCCTGCTGTGACAGGACAAGGGGTGATGGTTTTAAACTAAAAAGAGGGGATAGCTATACTACATCAAAGGAAGAAATTTTTTACAGTGAGGGTGGTGAGCCCCTGGCCCAGGTTGCCCAGAGAGGTGGTCACTGCCCCAGCCCTTGGAAACCTTCCAGGTGAGGTGGGCCAGGGCTCTGAGCAACCTGCTCTGGCTGCAGATGTCCCTGTCCCTGCAGGGGGGTTGGACTAGATGACCTTTAAAGGTTCCTTCCAACCCAGAGCATTCTGTGATTCAGCAGTCTAGTGATTGAACTCAGGAGACTTTGCCTCATTTGAAAGCTTTAAAAGATGTAGTGCAAGTACTCGTAAGCTGACGCAAATGAAAACATCATTCTGGTTTTATAGGGGCAAATAAAAACTAAGCTTAACAGCTCCATCTAGAGTGCTGACAACCTGGCCTCTGGAATCCTGGGTTCGCTTCTTGGCTCTCCTACCAGCTTGCCTTGAGACACTGTGTAAATGATTTTATTCATCTTTTGTTGTATTACTACAGCACATGTCAGCTTTGTAGCAACTGGCATCACGTATCTGAATAGTAAGAAAGGCCATGGCTGAAGTGTTTGCAACCACAACAGTCAGAACAGGCCAATTCTGCAGATGGGCTATGAGGGATAACATCCCAACAAGAAGTTTGTGATAGATTTTGTTATGCCTGAGCTCTCATACAAAATGGATCTCTGTTCCTCCCAGATCCCTAGTATTGTCAGCACCTTCATTCATGCTCTGGGGTCCCAGAAGGAAGCTCAGAGCACCAGCACCAACAATGGCTACCTCAAAGAAAATCAACATTACCTCCAACATGCACCCGTTTCACAGCCGAGCACTTTCCCCCTTTAGCTGGCAAAAGGGGAGATTGCTTTGCTGCATCCCAGCCTCGATGGGATCTTTAGGAATAAAACTAAACCCCTCGTCCTGCCATGCCCTTTCTGCTGCACAGCCAGAGCCTGGCTGTTGTAATACCTGCTCCTGGAGCTCTGCCAGCCGAGTCGCTCGCTCCTCTTCCGAGTCGGAGCTGTCTGAGTCAGAAGAGCTCTCCTCACTGCTGTGACTGCTCTCTGTGCTTTTGCTCACCACTGGTGCTGTTGGTGGAGGGGGAGGTGGGGCCTCTGCAGGCTCGTCGGGCATTTTTGCAAACCTCATCTCAAAGACATCCTACAAAAAGGGGGAAATATTGGTGACAAAAGGAGCCACACCCTTAAAGACCTCACTCTGGCCCTTTCAACACACCAGACACCCCACCACAAGTCAGGGTCCTACTGCACTACACACAGTGCTGAAAAAAACAAGAATAATGTACAGATGGATATATACACACTGTAAGCCCAAGAAAATCCTCCCATTACTTCACACAGCAATGATTTTAACTTTTGGGGAGGGGAAGCTCTGGGCTGTGCCCTGTGAAGAGCACAACGGTTCCATAGCACAGAACACTTTCTAAGGGCTGGAGGAATCACTGACTCTCCTTGATGCTGCCCAGAGCAGATCCATGCTTGGATCTCTGAACAGACACCGTGTAGGTGAGCCAAACATACTCTGGATAACATTTGCCAATGCTTTTACCTGGAGCTTCCTGGCCATTGCCACCACCTCGTGGTCTGGGGGATTGTACTTGTAGCAATTAGAGAACATTAACCGAATGTCCGCTGCGAACCCTTGTGCGTCCTGGTACTCCCGGCTGTCCATCTTTTTCTGCAAACACACAAGCCAGAGGGAAAGGGGAGAAAAAGCCATAAGCAAAAGGCATTTGTAGCAACTGCATGGAGGACACGTGCAGCAAGGAGACAGCTCAGAATGGCCACAAAAATCACATTTGTTTAAGAACAGTAGTTTGATTTGGCTTTTTGGTTCCTAAATAACACTCAGTTTTCTGCTTAAAACAAGCAAGAAAACACCAGACAACCAGAACAGTTGATGTGACTCCAAAACAGCTAACCCTTTAAAATTCTCCATTTGGGTTGTTTTCTTTTTCTGAGTAGTACTACAGAAATTCATCAGCATCCACTTTCAATTAGAAAATACAGTCATTTAGAAAAAAGGTTTGCTGATCAGAAACTGGTGTAAACGAGGCTCACGGATGGGAATAGCAGGAGTCAACATCCAGTCAAGTTACAGGAGTACTTCAAGCATGTATTTCTATGTGCTGCTCAAATATATTTGCCCTTTAAATCTGAAAGGGCAGAAAAGATCACAACCATCCAACTCTGACTTCCTGCTAGCACAGGGCATGAATTTAGTGATTGCTACAGCAAGACAGGCATTTACAGTTCAACTACAACACCTACTCTTCACTTAGAAGTCCAGCTGGTAGAGAATGGACACAATTCATCCTTCATGAACCTATTCATGTTATTTCCTAGTGTAGTGAGGAGTATCAGGAGCTAAATAGTTCCACCTTGCTCCTTTCTCTTGTTTCTCAGCTCTCACTTCATTTCTCTTGCTGTTTGGAACTCAATGACTTGCGTTTAGAAAACAGTTTATGGCATTTCTAGAACTTAATTGATTTTATGCATATATTACTACTATGTATAAAACCTTAGCTCAAATTACTCCTACAAAAAGGCAAAAAGAAGCTTACACTAGATTTCATTTGCATTTAAAAGACCATGGGTTTAAAGAAACTCTCTATTTGCCAAGTGCTTGCAGGCCTCCCTTTTGTCTGTCCTGTGCACCTGTATCCCCCAGCGAAGGGAAGGGGCTGCCTGGCAGACAGGCTGCCAGCACAGTTGGGGAACACATATCCCTGGTCTGAGTAGAAAGCAGGGCTGCTTATGGTCTGTGACCCATGCTGGAAGCCTTAGCACAAGCAAAGTATGTTCTATGGAAGCTTCAGATACTTCACAGCTACATGCTAGACCTTATAATCATCTTGAAACACTGCAATGACTCTGAAAACTGCTTTTGTTCTCAACAGGGCAGAATTCCACCTCCAGGGATGCAGCTTTGGAGGGACCTGCACAGTGGTGAAATTCCTGGGGCCTTACTCCCTGCTGCACTGCAGCCAGACAGCTGTCAAAGTTTTGTCACAAAACCTCATTCTCTTGGAGAAGGAACCAGCAGACAGCCTCCAGCCACAGCACAAGGCCAGCCAGGGCAATAGGTTTGTGCTTCTCCTGTCTGAAGGAGAGCTGGCCTCAGTTGAAGAGTGTCTCGGGCCAATTCCAAAGCAAAACACATGTTGAAGGGAAACAGCCCATTTCTCTTAAAATGTGTCTTTCTCCATGAAAGGTTTTTTTGATGCACTTCTATTTGTTTGGCACATTCAAGGGCTGATCACCACCTACGAAATACATTCCAGTGTCTGAGGCTTTGCTTTCATCCAAACCAAACAATTTTAATCTGTGGATTTTTGTTCTGTTTTCTTGTAAAGATTAACTTAAGAAAAATAAAAAAAAAGGACTTTAAATTGGTGGGCTGGGATATCTTTGGTTACAAATTCACTTTGAGATATCCAGCTGCTTAAAAAAAAACGTTATTACACTTTGAAGTACAAATCAGGAGTCACAGACAAGCAGGGAGCTGGTCCATTCTCTGCCCCATGCAACACCCATCACCACTACCTCATTTTCCCCTCAGCAATCAATTCAATTGTTTAATATTCATTAATATTCAAAAATTTGTTTCCTAATCTAACATGTTTCTTGCTCTAAGCTGAACCTTGTCGTGCCCAGAGAGGACGCAGAGAAAACTTGGTTCCCTCCCTGCTTCCAGCAACCCTTTGTGTGTTTGAAGATCTAGCATGTCCCCTTTCCACTGCCTCTTCTCCAAGACCAAACTGGACAGCAGCATGTCCTCAAAACTCAAGCCTGGGGCATGGCATCAGGGCAGGTGCTGACAAGGGAGAGGGCCACACAGGTCCAGTGACTTCAGCAGAGAAAATGCCACCTCTAGCAGCTAACAAGGGCTCAGCCTGATTTCTGGGGGCATCATTGCACCTTGCAGAAACTGCCTCAACAAGAGCAGCTGCTTTGTGAAGGCACATTTGTACTCTAAAATAGGCAGAACTAAAGAAGTCCTTAAAAATTCCTCCCTAAGAATGTCTCCTTGCTTTCAAGAGCTTGAAGTGCTCTGAAACCACAGCCATTCACTGCAAGAAAACTAACTGGTGAGCACAGCTAGACCCCTGGAGGGAGAGCTTTATTCAACAAGTAAACACCTTGTAGAAATCCTCTCACATAGCAAGAACTGTTGATGGTTCACCACTGAGCAAGCCAAAGGCAGAGACAACCACAGCACTGCTGCTGGGAGCTGGCAGCCAGAGGAAGGAGGCAAAGAGGTGCTCCAGGTTCTCCCAGCTCCATGGCAGGCACAGCACCCTGCCTGCCCACACCAAAGCTCCCCAGGGCACAGGAATGTGCTGCAAGTGGACCCTGTGGACAGCTACAGCTTCAGAGCAAGTGTTTCACCTGCTGCAGGGAATTAGAGCTGTCTCTGCTTAGTTTTTAAAGCCTAACCCATGTCTCTCCTCACACTTTCATCCTTTCTGCTCTCTACTTTAAGCAGTTCTGCTCTTTCCCACCCTGTGATGACTATCAAAGGGTTGAGGTGGAAATGAGCTCACTGATCCCATCCCTTCAGCTCTTCCCACTCTCAGTCCTAGCCCTGGCACAGCATTTCAGCACATCCCTCTGCTCCTGGTTGTGACAAGCTCAGCTATAGCCCCTCCACCTCTCACCTGCCACTGCTGCAGTCACAACAGCCAACCTGCCTCCACCACACACAGAGAAAACAACCTCCACATCCTTCTGAAGCACACCTCTGCTGGGTGCACAGCCTGAAAAACAGTGCTCCTAGACATGAAGGATATCTTCTGAAGAAAAAAAAAAAATCAAACCTCATCTAACCAGAGAGCCAAAGCAACAAGCAACCAAGTATTTGGGAATCCATTACAGCTGCAGCATGTTTTAATTTCTCATACAGCTCCTTCAAGACTACTTTGAAGGCCACAGCTGCACTGCTTTACCACAGCCACTGTCACTTGTGCAGAATTAAATGCAAAACCTTCCAGAGCCACAGAGAAAGCCCTGACACTGGAGAACTACACAACCTGCAAAGGGTAGATTTCTGTTCCATGCAGTTAGAGAATGATAGACTGCACCTCAGAGAAGTCACACTATAACCTACAGGCCAAGGGCAATGGTAACAAAACATTCTGTGAAAGAACAATACCAGAGAGGACTTCAAACAAGTTTATTAAGAAAAATACTACCAAGTGGAAAGACAAATCCAGAATCTTCACATAGAAGGGACTCCACTGGCTCTGCCATTAACTTATCTCCATTTTTCTGCCCTAGACTAGTAAGGTACAGAGGGAGAATATTACCTGCACTTGCAAAAAAAAGGGCAGAGGTGCACACTTTTCAGAATGATGAAGTTAGGACTGGAAAGAGACTCAAGTGTGAAGACATCAACCCAGATCTCAGCTTTGCACCTGGATTTTGCAAAATGCAGCACAGAATCTCTTGAAATAAGAAGCCATCTAATGAGACATGGAAATAGCAGCTTTGAGAGAGTCAGGATTTCACTCTAACCTCACTGCTTTCACCCAGGGCTTGATCTATCAGGCTGCAAGTATTCCTGGAGACCCACAGCAGCCCTGGGAAGACAGAGTGTGACTGAGCTGACAACAGGTCTGAAAGGATGAGGTTTACCAGCAGTCCCACTGAAGTTAGTACAGTAACTGAACGAGTTCATCTGGGCTATCATCATCTGATGACTTATGTTCACAAGACTAGTAGAGGAAAGGCCACCAATAGCACTTCATCACCCCAGTGTGGTAACAAAAAACAGCTGCATCGAGCACAAGATGTTTCTTCCCATCTCAGTTAGTTCTGTAAACCAGATATACTTTTTAAATTCCTTTAAAGCTACTGGCCAGTTTATAGACTCTTGGAACAGATTTTGACACGTCACCCACAATAAGCAAGGGCAAATCTAAGTTCTCTGCTTCACAGTTCTCTGCTGTGGTCTGCAGACCTCCTGACCACCCCAAGTTATCTATTAGCCTGTGACCCAAGCCCTGGAGCTGGACCTCCAGGCTGGTGGAGAAGAGCAACTTCAATGCAAAGTGAAGTGAGCAGACATTGACAGCAAGCCATGTAATTAAAATAACGTACAAGGACTAAGTAGGCCTTGGGTAGTGAGCATCCAAAGTCAGCAGGATAGTGAATGCACTGCAGGACCAAATCTGAGGTGAGCTTCTCCCTTCCTCTTCCACACACAAAAATGGAAACTTAAAGAAAACCCTGGAATCTTGCTCTGTCAGCAGAACATCAGAGCCAGGCACCAGTGCCCCAGCTTCACAGGCTACCATGTTCAACCTAGTCCTTTCTCCTGCTTTTACTGCTGTGTTTCATGCTCCCTCTTACTGCCTGCAGCTCAGTTCACCCTTCCTCTTGCCCTCTTCTGCCAGGAAATTGCTGCAGGCATTTAACACAGCTTAGCTTAATTACAAGTCAAAAATACTGCCCCTTCCACTGGCTTTGTAATTGAAGCCAGGGCACCTCAAGCTCAGGAGAAGTCTCCAAGCTGAGAGAGAGCATTGGTTACACTGCTTTTGCCAGCTCAGAGATGGCCTTTTCTGTACAAACCAAATCAATACTAATAATTAGTACCTAGATAGTGCCTTCCAGATATCTGTCCTCACAACAGCCCTGTGAGGTAGTTTAAGTGTCTCTGTTTTATGACTGGGAAAACTACATCACAGAGCTGTGGGGAAACTCGCCCAGGACTATAACATCAGAACAGTAATTAAAACACAGATACTGGTAACTCCTGGTCTCATCCTCAACACAGACCATGACAACTATTCTCTCACTACTAAACAATACAACTAAAAGACTTGTTAAAACATTGCAGCTGTAGTGAGAACCCTGCAGCACCATGGCTCAACGTGTGGCACATCAGAGCACATCCAGGTACTACGTAGGTTTTCTCAAGAAAGATGAAAGGAAGCACAAATGCAGCTGCCCTTTTGCCACCTGGACATTTGGACAGTTCCAGGTATTGGCTCAGCTGGGAGCAAAACACTTCTGGCATGCTAGTGAAAGGCAGCAGAAATACCTCAGCTTCCTGCCCAGGGAAGAAAAGTCTCACCTCCACCAACACTGATTCCAACGGCTGGGTCAAGCAGAAGGTAAGAACTAGAAAAATATGGCTTTGCTCCACAGATATTTACAAGGGATTCATAAAACTTTTCTTACTGGGAATAAAACACCTTAAATTGGACCATGCTATGCTAAGCTCTTTAAGAGCCAAGCACGAGCCACACAAACATGTTATTTCCTCCCCCTCAAGCATCAGGCGATCACCACGTTCTGGTTGGAATTACTCAGTGTAAAGCCTATCTGGACCACACATCATGCCAACAAGTAGGCAGATAGCAGCTCCTGGAAATGGGATACTATCAATTGAATCCTATGAAATACAGCACCTCTTCTTGGAGTGCAAGACAATCCCAAGGACACAAGTTTCAACAGCTGGACTATCCACAAAAAGGAGAAGATGCCATCGTACAGTCTGCTTTGCAGGGCAGAAAAAAAAAAGATGTCCCAGTTTATGGGGGGAAAAAAAAAAGAGAGGGGAAGGAAACAAAATATAAAAATATCCAGATGATATCCAAACAGGTTTGGTTTTCCACCCTTGCCCCTTCCCCCTCCCCCAGGAGCCAGTCCTCCACAACCAGAGGGCCGGGACACCCTGCCAAAGGGATGGTAAATGTGGACGTACTTTAACAGTACTGAGATCCATGGGGTGTTTGATAATATCATGATAGTCATGTAATTCCAAGGCCTCTGCATCAACAGGCTTGTAAAAGGGCCACGCGTAGGCTGCGTGCTTCTTGGAGAGCATCTCCTTGAGGATGCTGTCACAGTACTTGAGGTGCTCCGAGAGCTTGCCCTTCTTGCCCGCGTGCTGAGGGACCTCGCCGTCCTCCAGGTCCTTCTTTGGTGGTTTGATGGGCCGGCCGCCGCTCTCGCGCCGGGCGATGATCTTGGCCTGCTTGGGGTCCGAGAGGGGCGTGGGGGACTCGCTGCGGCTGGCGGTGATGGCCGAGGTGGTGGGGGTCGTGGTGTCTGCTTTCCGCTTCACGCCCTTCTTCTGAAACAGCAGATGGACACTCTGTGAGCACCGGCTCTCGTGCTAGGCTAGCAGAAACCTAGCTCATCCTTACTGCTGAGATCTGCCTGTCCTCTGACAGAAAACACCTTCCCTGGGATCAACAGGACTTGGGACTTAGAGGTTTGGACAGCGCAGTCCGGTGACCACGGCACGATGCCTGGCTACACGTCATCTGAGCCACAGTAACCAGCCATTTGCACGTCTCCAACCCGACCCCAAAGATGATGCAAAACGTGTTAGCTTTGGGTATTTCACTGAGATTTAAACCAAGGACTCTTACCTCGTGTTTGCCAAGGGAACGAGTGCGCCCGGTCGATTACTGCAGCTCAGCTGATGCACCGTGACTTAGTGTCAGTAACTTAACCACAAGTCTGAGTCCCCAGTGGCAGGAGCAGGCTATAAGTTCTGAACCAAAGCATATTAATCAAAGACCCGTGAGCCTTCACTCCCTTGTATTTAGTGGATGTGCTAAAGTCAATGGCTTATTACGGACAAGAGCAAGACTTTAACGATTCTGCCTTAAGCAAATAAAACCTCTCTCACAAATTCAAACACTGACTGTCCAGTCAGCTCTCTCTTGTGCTCCTATGAAGGATTTATTTCTCCAAGGAGAGAGAAAGGGGGAGGGGGAGAAAGTTCCTTAGGGAAATCTAAGGGAAATCTTAAGTAAATCCCAGGCAGAATTATTTTTGCAGTATGTATTTGGCAAGCTCACTTCTGGGCTCATCCTCAAGTTTTAAAATTAAATTAATTCTCAGAAGCAAGATATTTGGACAGAAACTGAAGTATGAGACAGGCTTCTGAGGAGGATAGCTTTGCTTCAAGATGGGACTTACAATTTCTCTAGTAACTCCCAAACTATAGGGTTAAATAAGCAAAATAATTCTGTGGCTCTTCTGGTCCATGCTACCTCATTTCAGAGAGCCCCAACACTGTTGCTGTTAATTCCTCCATTAGGAAAAAAACCACAGCTTTCTCTGAGCTGTGCTTTCACCATTTTTAAAGCAATACACAGCTTGCTAGGAAAATGCCAATTATTTAGAGCAACATTCTCATTTACCCATAAATTAACATAGTAAAGAGCAAAACACCAGTGACAACTCCCAGAAGATTATTCAGTAGGGAAGACAGAACTGATGTACCCCAAACCTGCAGGCAACAATCAGTCTCCTCCAACTGGAGTGACAGGCTTGTCTTGAACTGGTTTATGGCAGAGAGGAACATTTTTAGTGCTGGAGTCTGTAAATCTTAAAGGAATAGTCCCAGAAAAATCAGGGGCTCAGTTAGAGGGAAGAGATACTTTGGACTATATGGTGTAAAGTGGGGGAAGCCTTCAACAACATTCTGGTTCATGGAGCATCAGCACTGGATAAGGATCTGGTTGGGTGAGAGCTTCTAAGGGAGTTGGAGCAGTTACAGTTGACAACACAGCAAAACCATCAAAACTTTTCTCAAGCCTCTCAAACTCGACAACGAGCACTCGTCTGAGCCCCCCCCCTAAAGGGACAACGATGGTCAGAGAGGCAAGGAGTGAAACGTGGAGAGAAGGAATGCACGTAACCAGCAGTAAGGGGGTGAAAAGGGAGCACTGCTTAGCAATGCTGCCTGCTGAGGAGGAAAGGGTCAGGGCTCTGCGTTTACCTTGACCACCGGCGGCGTGGGAGGCACCACGGGCATTATCGGAGCAGCAGGCGGAGGGGGGGCAGCGGCAGGAGGGGCAGTGACAGGCTGGACGTTAGCAGTGATGGTTGGCACGGGGGTGGCAGCGATGACGGGCGTCTGAGAGGCGGCTGGAGGGACGCTCTGGAACGGGGCCGGCGGGGAGACGGAAGACACGGCCACGGCTTGCTGGGCTCCTTCCAAAGGACAGAGGGAAAAGAGCTGCAACGTACCGAGGGTTACACGCGCCGACAAGACGCTGGGAACAAAGGGACAGTGGTGCTGCTGGGCTGTCCAGTCACGGGCAAAAGGCTCCCGAGTCCAGGGCCACGGGAAGAGCACAAGGATATAGTGTGATTTGCTTGGTGGTGTCACCAAAAAATGAGAACTCACTGACCTAAGTCCTCGCCCCGTGAGCTTTAGGCCAGCCACATGCAAGCAAAATATTTCAAGCTTTGCACACAGGGCGTGTTGCTCTGGGACAGTTTTCACCCCTCTCGTGCTCTCAGAGCTACCATGTGCTCAACAAAAAAAGCAGGAGCTCAAGGAGAGAAAAGGGAGAGACAGCTCTCTTGGACAGTCACAGCCCTGTACAAACCTCAATCTAGGAGTGTTTTTATTATCTGTGAGAAATGGTAACAACCACCCCTCCACAGCCAGCTAAATGCCCAAGACTCCCATGTGCTTCACACTTGTCACAAGTTGTAGAATGAAAGAGAGCTGGGAGCAGAGCCCGAGTCTCCTGACAGCCAGGAAAATCTCTCTTATACTGGACCTGCCTGCTAGTGTAAAGTTAAGAGGGACAAATCTAGTAATTGATAATCCAAGTAGCAATATTCCTCTACGTTTTTATAGCAGCTTTCATCAAAGGATGCTAAAAAACACATCGTCACAAATTTCTGTGAGCATGAAGCTGTAGCTCCATTTGGCACCCGAGATGTGGTAGAACAGAAACAGTTGACTTTCCCAGAGCAACAATCAGTCCTTGTCTGCAGAAAAAAAAAATTGCCACCATTTAATTCAGCCCACACAAGGTCCTTTATGAACTGTTGCACTGCACTTATGGACATTTTAGTCCTAAACCCATTTAGAATCAGCTTTAGATAAGCTGAACTAAACTTCGTTTCTACTGATATGCAATGGTCTGTGCAGCCTTTTGCAACAGCTCAATAAATCCTTTCTGTTGGTCAAACTTTATTCTACCACGTTGCAGTGATGCGTGTAAAAGAAAAACGTTATCCAGGGTTTAGGGGATTGGCAAGACCTGAGTCCAAGTCTCTGCTGTGTCAGACTTCTGCCAAGACCTGGGCGAGCTGCATAAACCCAGGTCTGTGAAGGCACTCTGTGCACAGTCTGCCACTTGCAGCAGAGTGGCACGTCTGCTTTGCCTCTTCTTGCCTTGGTTTCTTCTCTGCATACGTGAAGGACACATTGCCTTCCCTCTCTGGAGTGTTGTGTGGGCAGGCAAGTCACAGACAGCAGGATGTTTGTGTGGCGAATGCAGAGTGGCCCTAAGACAGACAAGCCCTGACACACTGGGGGAACATGATCTAGACATCTCACACTTTCCTTGTCACGTTCCCCTTCCAGCCCCCTCACCACTCACAAGGCAGGCAGCCTGGAGGGTGGGTCAGGCCCCAGTGATGGGCCCTGGCGGGGGTCAATACCTGTGCTCTGCACGCCCGCTGCCGGCTTGCGACCTTTGCCTTTAGGAACTGGGGGTAACAACTCGACTTCCTCCTGGGGCATCTGGGCAACCTTCTGCAGAAATATCTTCTCCAGGGCTTGAGCCATGAGGACGATGTCATCTGTTGGCTGCAGAAAGAATAATACAAGCCCATACTGTATCATCCACAGAGTAGAAGCAGAAAGAAGAAGATCAGGCACTGAAATCCCCCATGGCACTGCCCTTCAAATAAGTGATGGCATCTAAACTCAGACAACAACCAGACTAGCTCCTCTCCCTCCTCACATGCTACCCTGCTCTTTATTCTGGTCCAGCATGCAATAATTACAGCTTCTAAGTACACTGCATCCAGAGTTCTCAGGACTTCAGCAAATGTGATAACTAGCATCCTGTGCAACAGAGTGAAAGCAGCTAACTGGAACAGATGAGCTGTCCTCCCCTTGCCAGCAGGTCCAAGAGAAGAGTGCAAACACATACTCTGTGGCTCAAACTAATTAATTTATTTCAGTTTTCTCTCCAGTATGGGTCAATAATGACAAACCACTCTAGAAAACATACTACAAAGAATAGAGGCTTTTAACAACAAAGCAGCAAACAAGCCAAACCCAAAATAACAATCAGCAATCTAAGGGTGTGCAAGTATGGGCAAGACACAGGCAGAGAAGAGCTACACTTCCTGAACTGCTCTGTGAGAGCAGAGAGGTACCACTTACTGCCAGCCAGCAAAACACACAGCACTGCTACCCCAGAGAACACCTGCAAAGCACTGCAGAGACTGCAGCTCACCTTAAAGAATTCCTAACTGAAAACAAAAAGGACTAAAAACTTGCTATATAACCCCCAAACAGCAATCTACCTATAATTAAAAGGCACGTTTGCCATTTTAACTAGTCTGGGGGAAGGAGGATGGGGCACAAAGACAGCTTTGTGCCTTTCAAGTAATGTGGTTGCAATTAGTGGCATTTCAAACCCTTGCAAGGCGGGCCTGGAGCACAGCAGAGCTGGCCCTGCTCAAACCCTGCCCTCTAACTCTTGTAGGTGGGTCTTTTCTAGGCAGTGCCTCAGCTGAAGGCTTGTCTGGGCTCTTTACCTTGTTGTAAATGTAACAATTTGTAAACATGGTGTTGAAATCCTGCATACATTCACTGGCACTCCAGTAATAGTTATGTTCCAGGCGTTTCTTGATAGTCCCCATGTCCATGGGGTTTTTTATGATTTTGTGATAATCCTGTTGGAGAAACAGGAAAGACATTACGTCTCCTGATATACTCACATCTCCCTCTAGTCCCAGCTTTCTCCTCATTCCCCCTCCCAAAAAAAAAAAACCACATCCCCAAGTTTTTGTGGAAATTGTAAACATCACCTCTGCTTTCATTTATAATTTGCAGCCTTTTAGTCTATCATCATTATCAACTTGATTACAGAGCACAAGAACTTCTTCCATGACTACCAGTCTCCCCCAGTTCTACCCAGACATTTCCCACTTTTTATAAGGGCAGTGGGACCTGGAGGGTATCAAGAGGAACATGTGGAGGAAAGCATGTTTTCTGAGCAGCCCTCCCAGGAAGCTGTTTGCAGCCTCAGTATCCTCTGCAAGGCTCCAGGTGCCACTTTGGATCGTGTGGCAGAGTAGAAGAGTGCTACACTGATAGACAAACTCTGCAGCAATGAGCTTCCTGGGAGCAGCAGTTGGGGCAGCAAGGTCTGCACCAGCTTTGGCAGAGGGTTCAGTTTAACAGTGGGCTGCCTGCAGCCTGGGAAGCAGCATTTCTGCCTTCCTTTTAAAAACACTGGCACTTATAGAAGTTTATCAGTGCCAGCACTGGCTAAGATTGTGCTAAACGTTTCAGTCTCTCTTCTACAGGCATTTCAGCCCTTAAAATTAACCCATTTCTCTCTGGGCTAGTCTCAAGCATCTGCAGAGGCTGCAACTAGCCCAGAGATGCTCTAGGCATGCAAGGTTAGACACTGCAGTTGTCCCATTCTGGAGAAGAGCAGCAAGTCCCCGTGCTGCATGTGCACACAAACCCATGTCCAGGCACTGGCCACTCTGAGCCTAACCCTCAAATGCAATAAAAGGCACACTGATATTTCCAAGCAAGGCAGGCTAGGGCAGAAAAGGCAATTCTACTGGGTTTATGCAGATTTAGGTCACACAAAAAAAACAACTATTCTTTCAACTGATTCCTCCTTTGCATTTTCTGGTAACCTGCTCTAAAACCACCTCAAAATGCCTCACTGAGAAACTAAATCCACCAAAAGATGACACAAAGGAGTAGAGCTCTAGAGAAATATTATACAGGTGTTATGTGTTTTACACTTTTGCCTGGCACTTGAAATGGTACTCATCAACAACATCAGAGTTGAAAAGACTCTTGATTCAGTCCATAGAACTGGGTTATAAGCTGTGGTAACTAGAGCTCTTCTGGCCTCACACCCCAGAACCATGCTCCCTCGAATCCTACAAGCAAGCCCCTTGCTCATAGCAGCCAGTTAATTCACAGTGAGCTGCCTGGCTGAGCTGAGAGCAGGGTGGGCAGGGGGTGCTGGTGCCTGTATTTCAGTGAAGCAGTGGGTCAGGGTGTGCCTCTGCTGTTGAGTTTTTACACCTACAGGACCCCTTGAAGAGTTGAACGGTGTGTGGCTCTGTTCCCTTAGAAAAGGGTCATTTACAAATAACCAGCCTGTATCTTGCACTATCTGGTCTAACAGAGACAGGGTGTATAAACCATCAGGCACAGGAGGCAGACTGGTAAATGCAACTGTTCTGTTCTTGCTACTTCCAGTACAGCATTTGAGAATAACTAGCTCTGCAGTATTAGCTTCTCTGCTCTTCCTCAACACTGAGGTCAGTGGCAAATCCAGAAAAGCCTTTGGAAAATACAAGTTATGCTGAGCCCAGTGCCAAATGCTCCCAAGAGCATGGGCACTGAGGACTCTCTCAGGTTGGACAGAGGTGGGACAAGGAGTAAAGATAAAAGTCAACAGAGGCAAGCTATGAAGGAAGCACTGTGCTTCCACTGCTCTGAGGCAGCTTGGCTGTGAGTTCTTCTCTTCCCTCACTAGGTAGGGGCAGTTTTCTCCCTCGGAGACCTGCACCTCTCCAGCTCTGAAAGACATCATCTTCCAATTCAGCAAGTCTAAAAGCATTCAAGGAAATGCCCCAAAGCAACCTAACCATTCTGATCCAGAGATCAGAAAACCGATCTCACCAACACAAAGCTTTCCAAGACCAGAATTCCAAGCACAACAGGACAGATACGTACCGGCAAATTCAATTTAATTGCATCAACAGGTTGGTAGAAAGGCCAAGCAAACTGATGCTTCCACAAGGTCTTTACAACAACATTTTGCATATATTGCAACTGGTTGGTCTTCCGGCCAGGCTTATTAGGATTAGTGACCTCAGGAGGCGGCGGATTGACGGGGCCCTGAGGAGCCTGGACTGCTGCTGGGACTGTCGACATTTTCCTGCTCTTGCTCTCACTCGCTGTCACAGCGGCAGCAACTGGGAGATTTTCTTTCTTCCTTTAAGCTCCCTGAACGGGACTGACATCCCATTTCCAGGGTCCAACCATACAACCTAGATCAAATGAGGAGGAGGACAAGGCGTAAATACAGATACTTAATGTAGTCATGTTAAGAAACTTGTGTTGTTGATAGTGTTTGAACTCAGGCTCTTTACCCCACCTGCTTCGTGCTCTGTAACACACTATGTTGGTGACAGCCACAGTTGGAGACCCAAGAGACAAGGGAAGAGCAATTCCCAAATACAAAGCCTGCAGAGCACGAGAAAGCTTCACAGGACTAGTTCTTGTTTTGTCCGAGAAAGCACTTTCATGCAAAGCAAACACACAGGGTAGCAGGGAATACAGTTAGGATGCAATGCAGAGACTCCCAGGAACATGCTGGTCCAAACTAGCAAATCCACAGCCTGCAGCTCCACGTGAACTTAACTGCCTTGTCTCCAGACCCACGCTGGCTGGCACTGAGTCAGACACCCAGCCTCTGCACTGGTGCAATGGTTACTCTGAAATCCCTCAATCAAGAGCAGATGACAGCTGTCAGAGGACCTGCATCTACAGAAATGAAAGGAGTAGAGGGAGGTGCTGTGAACAGTTTGGAATGAAAGGTGTCACCAGAAACATCCTACGTGGAAGTGATCTGCTCTTTGAATCTCAGGAAGTCTTGCTACATCCCCTGGCTATGTACACACACTGGACTGGGCCCTCAGTTTCATGCTGAAGTCTCAAGATACAACTTCAATGCAAATAATAATATATCCCATGACCTGGCTAAGAGCACCACTGTGCTCTCTCTTGAAGGCACATATGAAATACAGAAAAGTACAAAAATTGCATGACTGCATTCTGTTTTTTTCCCCAGCAAACTGCAGGGGGAAACAAAAATTATCTAGTATCACTCTATCTTGTATACCATATGGTAAACAGCCTTGCCCTGTCATCTTCCATAAACATTGGACATTTCAGTTCACATCAGGACTGCAGCTACTCTTCTCATGGCAAACCAACCACAATCACTTTAGAAAGGCAAATTATTTCAAATATGTCCAGAAAGCCACACAAATACTCTCACTGACATATGCTTTAGTTGTACAGAGAAACATGAGCAGAGACAGAAGCTGCAGTAAAACAGGAAGGAGGAGAGAGGAGCAAGACACTCTAGGAAAGAACCAAACCCCTCTTCTTTTGATACATCCCTAATTGTTTCTGCTGAATATCTGGACTAAATACAGCACATCAACTTACCCTTTGAGTTGCTGATTAGACGATGGCAAAAAGTAAATGTAGTCCTAATTTGGGGGATTCTTCCAAAACCAGACAAACGCAAACACATCTGCAGCAGGGAGGGCTGATTAAATATTGGTCTTCTCAGGCTTGCCCAGACAGCAGAGGCATCTGCACCCCAGAGGCCAGCTGCTGCCCCAGCAGCTCTGTAACTAGGGGCTCCCTCTGGCACCCTGGTGAGGCTGTGGCACAGGGAACCATGCCATGGAGTGGGCAGTGCCCTGGGTGCCACAGCCACCGGGGACACCCGAGTGCTCCGGGTGCTGCGGGCACTGGGTGCACCTTGCCCTGGCTCACAGGTGTCCCTGGCTCCAGAAACCACATCAGGTTTGGGGTTTTTAGAGCTGGTTTTACAGGTCATTTTTTATAGTGCTTCTATGGGGAATTAGATTGCTAAAAACCTAAACCAAACCCATGAGTACGAGTGCTTACGTGTGCCATAATCACAAGACAAGGCTAGTTATGGCTCTCCCATCATCCATTCCCCAGTCCCATTCTATCCCAAGAATGTAGAAACAGCACAGATGACAGTAGGACTTTGTAGGTCCAGAACCAAGCCTCTGGCCCCTGTTCTTTGATAACTCCTCAAAAAGGCCTAGCCCCTGTTCCCCAGACCTTGCATCTGATCAGGCTGGTCGTGCTGCTGCTGGCAGGCAGGGTCACCACCAAACAGCCAGGAGGAACACTGGTGTCCTCTGGGAAAGGAATTTCAAAACTAGGACATGACTTGGAGTTTCAGATTTGGAAGGAACTGGGGAAGTGTCTTCTTCTGATATTCCATTAGCCCAAAGCAGCAGCAGAAAAACTGCAAAATGAACCTTCAGACCAAAGGGGAGAATAGACAAAGAATTAAAAAAGAAAGAAAGATTAGAAAGTTTCACTCAGTCTCCTCCTGGGCAGCTCTCTGCATGGATTTCAGACCCCAAGGCCGCTGAGTGACATCCAAGCATACACAGCACTGACTGCAGGCCCCTGGTGACCACCACTGAAGCATTTTGTTTGCTGTCTTGATTAACAAACTGAATCCAATGCAAGGACTGACGGGAAATAAAACGCCCACAGAGAGCAATTCCTTCTGCTATAGAGCATTCTGGTCACAAGTTTAAAACCATGCAGTGTAACTTCAGTCTTCCCTTTCAATAACCTGTGGTTGAATAAAACTCTTTCCCTTTCTATTTCCTGATGTCCTCCTACCTCAAACTCCATTTGATAAGGATTTTAATTGATCTTTATTAAAACCCAGAACCATAATTCAAAAGCCACAGATCTAGCTCCTGCCTCTCCTGAGCTCCCCTGCTGACCTTAGCCCAAGGCACTGAGTATCTTCACACCACAGCTCCTCACCCATGCCACTGAGATAGCAATAGTTGTGTCTTCATCTGCTCCACCCTGCACGCCCAGGCTCCCCAGGACACGCACTGACTCTTCACAGGCACATTTGGATCATCAAGTTTAAACAAGGCTTGTACAGTCCACATAAGAGAGGCGTGCAACAGTCATCAGTGACACAACCCAGAAAGGATTTTAATTAAGAACATTACCAAAAAGTAGGAGGGGCAGAACCATGACAGCCAACTCAGCTAGTCCTCTGACAGCTGATCCTCTTTAACTTGCATGCTGCAACTCATAGGTTATTACAACCAGAAGTAGCTACAAACCCCAAACCTCTTCACAGCATTGTCATTTAAATGCTGGATCCCACAGCTGAAAGATGGGAACAGCTACCTGGGCTGTGTCAGCAGGGCTGGGAGCATCTGTTCCTGGCACAATACAGCTTTCACCTGCATGTGCCTCGCTGCACCCTTTCAGCCTTTGGTTCATCAACTTCTTCATCATTTGCTAAGGAAGATGCTTTAATGTTAGATTATTCCTTAATTTTTACAATTAAAAATGTGTTTCTATACCCATTCTTTTTCTTCTAAGGTTTCAAAATAATATGCTTTTTAAGAATACAAAAATCAGGATTCTGAGGAATCTGGAAGCTGAGGTCGCAAATGCTTTGGAAATGACCAAAAGTGTAAGACAGTGAATTCAGAGGCCATGGCCCTGCCTGAGAAATCTACTAGTTGTCAGAGCTCATTTATCAAACGAGGCAAGTGTGAGGCATGACCATCTAACACCCCAACTTACCATGCAAATCATCCAACAACACTTAAGTAGACTCACACACACAAACCCAAGCAGGCTTACACAAATCGTCCTGTAACTGCAGGTAGAATCAAAATAGACAGTTCTAGTCTAAGCACTTCAGCATCTACTGAAATGGAATCAGTATCAATAACTATTGAAACTATTTGGGACCCCAGGACTTCACTGTACAAGGTGCTGTACAAGCAAGGGATAGACTGCCAAAACTAGCCTTGGCAGGGACACCACGTGCTTCCAGCGAGGGCCTGCAGTGGCACTTCTAGCCATGGAGTACTCAGTTCTTCAATTAGAATTTTAATTATTACAGGCCTGAGGAACAGGATTAAGTAATGCTGAAGTAACAGAAGCTGCTCTTGATTTTTCTGGCTGCAGACAAGTTTTTGATATTACCCATGTGAAGCACGCCCTTCCGCTGTCACACATGAGGACTGCACAACACTTCCCACGCTGCACAGCTCTCCTTACTCACCCCAGCCTGGGACAAGAGCTAAAAGCAAAACCCAACCCCAAATCTCCAGTAAATCTTGCTTCTCTGGAGTCTAAGTCTGTCCTTTTGTGCTAAGTTGCAACCTCAGCGTGGCACCCGGCGAAGCTGTGGGGTTTGGCACATCCCTCAGCCAACCCAGTCATCAAAAAAAAAAAACCAGCTAGGTTGGAAGGATTTTATTTTATCTTTCTTTTCATTGAGTTGCTTGCATGGGTCGGTCAGGAGAGAGACAGTTGGCACAGAGAAAACAGGTTAATAATTCCCTGTACTAGCAGGATAACGTTTTACAGGACTGATGCAGCCCACAGGCTGTCTGCAGTGGTGGAGGCTATTTTAAAAGGAGCTGTAAAGCCCCAGGAGATGTGTGCAGTGCCAGCACGCCTGCTGCTCCAGCTAACGGTTCTGCCACTTCCTCTGGCAGCCCCCAGCACCTCACGGATGGCTCGCTGCCGTGCCTGCAGCACAGGGTGGCATTTGTTTGGATTGCAAAATGAGAAGGCAGCGAGCTTTACGTTAGCCTGTGAGCCCAGCAGTGCTCCCCCCAACCCTGCTGGAGGCTTCCTGGAGGGTTCCTTGGACACCGACCAACAGCTGGCACAACTCCAGCCACAAACGGCTCCATAAATCTTCCCATCAGGACAAATTATCCAGTTTAAGAGATGTTGCTCGACCTCATCTTTATCTCCATGTTACTGTTTACATTACAGTAGCACACAGGCACTGGGCAGAGACCAGTATTGGTCTGGCTGGGCTGAGTTCCCCACTGCAGCCCATGGGCAGGGCTTTTGTGCTGGCAGTCAGAAGGATGCTGGGGACACCCCTGTTGTGACCACCACCGAGCAGTGCTCACACTCCTTCTAACATTCCCCCTCCAGGGGCATAGGGGAGGCAGGAGCTTGGGGCAAACATCACCAGGACAGTTGACCTGAACTGACCAAAGGGATATTCCATACCATAAGATGCCAGCTCAACTATAAAGCTAGCAAAAAGGAGGAGGGGGGGACACTACTCCTTGGTCCTCCAGAGCAACCACTACACGTTTTGGAGCCCTGCTTCCCAGGAAGGGGCCAGACATTGCCTGCTGATGGGAGGCAGAGAATAAATCTTTGGAGTTTTTTTCCTCTTCACTTCCACGTGCAG